TAAGTACGACACTGTCGTTTGGCAATCGTTATGCACGCATCGGTTGTATACATATTATGAAGAAAAATTGTGTGCATTAAAATTATATAAAAATTAGTTTATCTTGCATAAAATCTGGGGAAATTATTAAAAAGTGGATAATTGCAATAAAATTCTATAAATGAGATAGTTTTAACTATCAAATATGACAAAATTGTAAAAAGTCTCTGCGTGCGTGCACAAAACACATCTCAGGAAAAGAAAAAAAGAGGGATTAATGAAAAATTATGTCTAGAATTGTTGCAGCACAGTTCATTATTTTAAAATTGCAGGTTTTTGTAAAAATTTCTCGAAAATATCAACCAAAAAAACAGAAAATACCTGCTCTAAGCGAATTTTTAGATTCCAAATGAATTGAAATATCACGACAGAGTGCGCGAAGGTGTAGTCGTCATGTAATCGTTCAATCATGATAGTCCCGATGAAGCAACTATCATTGGACGACCAATGTACAGAACGCCTAAATTTTCAACTAAAGTATTCTTAACACTATTAAGTTTTACACCCATATTTTAATATTTCATATAATTTGTGTAAAACTAGTGTAAATTTAGGTTCTCAAACAGATGGCAACTCATTCCAAATTATATTCACTACAATCTTCTAAGACCTTTTTCATTTGACACCCATAGGGCGGTACATACATATTTTAAATATTCAATCCCCTTGAATAAAGTTGAACTGGCACATCCCATATTCGTGGACATTTTTATCAGCTATAATTTGGAACCATAAGTCACATGAACTTGAAATTTGGTATGCAGACGTATCTATGGGAGGTGCTTATAGTGCTTGGGGTACGGGAGGCCCAGTTGGTAACTAGTCTTTGAGGACAAGTTGGGAAACAGTTTGGGTCTAGTCTGAAACTAGTTACTTTAGTACCATTTGGGAACCGGTTGGTTGATTTGAACTTCAGTGGCCGTTTTGAGGCGTTTGAAGGCCTTTTGAGGTGGTTTTAGACACTGGGAGTGCTGTACACTTACATTGTAAATAGCTGTAAAATATTAAAAACAATTATAAATTGGAAATTATTTACATTGTTTACAATTATTTACAAGTAAAGAATTATTGTAAATAATGTAGATATTTTACAGGCACAACCCTGGCTAAAACACGTTGGTGTTCACACAGAGACAATATTTACCAATATTTACATTGTTTACAGTAATTAACAATTACTTATAATTGTTTACAATTCTTTACAAATGTACATTATTTACACCAAAAATATCACCCTGTAAATATTTATATTATTTACAAGTAAAGAATTTTTGTAAATAATGTAAATATTTTACACGCACAACCCTGATTTCTGCCATGAAAACCAGCTACTCATAAAAATACGAACGCCGTTCGGAGTGGGCGTAAAACTGTAGGTCCCTCTGCTTTGTGTGACAACATCAAGGCGCACACAACGAATTGGAGGAGAAGCTCGGTCAAACACTAACATATGTGTAAGCGCCAATCTATTATTATTATTATTAAGCTTGTTTAAAAGGCTGCAATTTACAGTTAAAACTGTGAATCTGACAACATTGAATAGCAGCCACCTTTCCACAGAACGCTAGAGCAAAAAGGAAGCAATAATTTGATGTTGTGGGAAAGGCCACGACAAAAGACTCCACTACCAACCATTCCAGCAAGCTTCGACACATCGGCGAAAAGTGTACTGTTCCTACCATTCAAGCAATCATCCCTTGAGCGTATAAGTATGTGTAGAGATAAACTTACTTGGAGCTTTTTCAGAGACGCAGTGATCCGCGTTAGCAATATGTGCAGGAAAGCTTTAACTGCCAGAATGAGAGAGAGAATGGTCCGTTCCCTAGGCGCCTAACTATACGTATATAATAAGAGTGATAGATTGGCGCTTACACATATGTATGTTACTGTTGGCCGAGCTTCTCCTCGGATTTGTGTCATGCGCCTTATTGTTGTCACACAAAGGAAAGTGACCTTCAGTTTAAGGATGTCAAACAAACATCGATACATCGAAAATATCTATGCTTTGCTTCAATGCATCGAACATTTTCCACTCGATGTATAAATAAATAGTCAATGCATCAAGGCATCGATGCATTGATGTTTTTTGTAAACTGATACCTCAAGTACATACATTGAGCGGCCAAACATCGCTTTGTCTGAAATGCAAAGAAAGCAAGATGCAGTTTTATAGCCCATAAAATTTTAGTATAATAAAGTGCAAGTTTCAATTGCTTTAATTTTTGACATTTTTTCTTTGGCTTTGGCAAATTGTTGCACTAAAATTTTATGAGTTATAAAACTCCACACCCAAAACTGTTCTAAATGTTCTCGTTCCATAGTGGAGGAAAACTCTATGCGTATTGATGCATCGATGTACGCCCTCCCATGCATCGCCAAATATCGATATACATAAGATTCGATGCATCGATGCGAGGAAAAACTGACATCCCTACTACAGTTTTATGTTGGCTCCGAACGGCGCTTGTATTTTATGAGAAACTGTTTTTTTCATTGCAGAAATTCACTCGGAGGTTTGCCATTGCCTGCCGAGGGGCGGCCTTTGAAATCATGTAAGTAGGGTGTTCATAAATCTACCTTTAACTATAAGTGCCACACTGTGTGCGTAGCCAATAACTTGACAGGACCACTTCTCCGGCACCTTCAGCAAGTTTTATACGGCCACCGTACAGAGAAGAGGTTGGAGACTCTCATCTTACGGAGTGCTTCTGTTTACTCTTCAGGCGCAGGCCCACGAAACCGATTTAGCTCTGTCGCAAGGAAAGTTGTAGATAAGCCGTTTGAGGAAATCTACTACCAAGTCTTTATGAGAGAAGGCGTATACTATTCACTTTACAATTGTGGGGTGATGGTCAGAGCGACCCTGAGTTGCGGTGGTTGGTGGTCGCAGCAGTCACTCCCGGTATAAGCGACAGTAACGGCGGCGATAGTGACATCGGCCCCCGGGGACGATGAAAGTAGCAGCTCAAGTCCCGGTAGTGGTCACGGTGGTAGTGGCTCTGAATTACGAAAAATCGCGTTTTTTTGCAATATTTGAGAAGCTCTAGAAAAGAAAACAAAAGGTGACAGAACCTTCCACTTGGGCTTAAACTAAAGCTAGAAGTCTCGACTACTATCTCTGAAAATACCATTCGGGCACCGTGGCTTGATGGTCACTTATAGTCATTTGTTGAATAGCAAAAACTTATTTTGGCGAAGTTTGAGTACCTACCGCAATTAAACAAAATGTGGAAGAATTTTACACTTATGCTAAAATTAAAGCTTGAACTTTCAACTACAATCTCTGAAAAGACCGTCGCTGCACCTTGACCCTACGACCACTTATAGTCCTTTATTGAACAGCTAAAACGGATTTTGGCACAAGTTTCTTTCTTTCAATAGCACAATACGCTAGTATTTTGTTATTGTTCAATAAATGACTGCCAGTGATCATCAAGTCAAGGTGTACGAATGGTATTTTCAGGGATAGTAGGCGAGACTTCTAGCTTTAATTTAAGCCGAAGTGCAAGCTTCTATCACCTTTTGTTTTTTTTTTTCTGCTAGAGCTTCTATAATATTGCAAAAAAGCGATTTTTTGATACTCCGTTTTTCTCAGAATCTGGACGTGATGGAAACTTTTTTTCTTCCGGATTTGTAATCCGCATGAAAAAGTCTATCAAAAACAGCTTTAACATTTTATGTTACAAAATTGTTTCCCATTTTTGTTGGCCTGTGTTATTCTTTGCTTGATTTTCAGGTTGGAATTATGGCAATCAAGTCACGGGGTGAACGCAGTATATTACATATATACTCGAGCACAAATTATATTATACATATGTAAGAATTTGTTGGAGTTATACAAAATATTTTCTAAAATGTAATTTGTGCTCGTGATATGGAAGATAATTTTTCCAATTATACATATACATAAGAATATAGGTCTGAGTGTATTTATAACCACGTCTTTCTATATACCTTAGCTCTGGTGGCAGGCGTTTATCGTACGCTTGGATGACAGTTTTCCTGCTTAAATATTCGTAAATGCCACTTGGTAAATAAGATTTGTCATTTGTGTGACGCATTTTGTTTTTATTGCCACCCTCACACATAGTAATTACAATCTTACACAGAATGCGAATGTTTTTAATTTTTTGGTCGTCGTCTGTGAATATTATTATTATAATTTTAGCTTGTTGACACAATTAGTCACCCCGCTGCTGCTGACCAGCGGCCCCGTCAAGCACAATGTGAGAAAAATTACACCCGGAATTAGTGAGGAAATTGCGGGCAAGTTAGCAAGTGTCTTTATCTGTCGCAATACTAGTCAATATAACGGCTGAAAGGGTGGTGCACGAAAGGGACGTGGAGTGTGTTCAGTTACTTTGTGGCATGCCACAACATAAATGCGCACTGAATGTTGGCTTTTTTTGCATATGCCTGTATTTATTGCTGCTGTATATGGTTGTCAGTTTAACGTCGATGAGCACGACAACTTACTTTTTTGTCATTTGCCCAATGCAATTAAATAAATTAATCATCTTAGTTAGACTATGGCGTGAGAAAAATCCATTCAGGAACTATAACTCTTTATTGCTTAAGCGCTCTTGTTGGAATTTGAGAAAGCGTTGAGTGTGTTCGTGGTGTAAACTAAAGCTCGTCTCGGCTACATCAACTCAAGGTGCTGGCCCAATGCAAGCTGGCTTTGCTGGCTTCGCTTGACTTGATTTGCTTTAAAAGTTTCTATGACCAAATGGGGACTTTGAACGCTGTCATAACAATCAGCTGATTTGTAAAAGAAACAAAAGAAACAGAGATGTTAACTAGAAGAAGTGAAAATATTTTGCGAATTTTTCTTTTAATAGTAAAAATGTTTAAAATAAAACGCAAATCACGCCAACGACGGAGGTTTTGGGTGCGAAAATTATATTTAGATCGACAAAATCATGGGTTGTTTGAAAGTACTTTGCGCAACCTTGCAAGGGACGAGGAGCAATTCAAGAAATCATTACGAATGCCCCTTTCACTGTTCAACGTATTGCACGAATTGCTGGAGAATTCATTAAAAAAACATTCAATCAGGACTCCAATATCTTCCCAATGCAGATTATTTATAACACTATTGTAAGTAAACTGCAGTTTTATAGTGTTTTTGTTATTTCACGTTCTCTTGTCACTTGGTAGATATTTGGCTCACGGTGGTACCCGACAATTTCATACGCTCGTACATAGAATGGGATTAACCACATTCAGAAGAATAACACTTGAAACATGTGAGGTAATATGGAATTCGCTGTCAGAACTTTATGTAACGACACCTACCGAAACGGAGTGGATACGTATTGCAAATGAATTTAAATTAATGTGGAATATGCCCAACTGCATCGGCGCCATAGATGGAAAGCACATCAACATAACTTGCCCTTCGAACTCAGGTTCGATGTTTTATAATTATAAAGGCAATTACAGTATCGTACTTATGGCAATATGTGACGCCAACTATACGTTTACATGTGTTGATATTGGGGCATACGGCAGCCAAAGCGATGGCGGTATTTTCCAATTTTCGAAAATTTCGGAAGCTATCGAAAATAACTCTCTCAATATTCCGAAAGACTGTCCATTACCGGGAGAATTGGAGCCATTCCCCCACTATATAGTTGGTGACGCAGCATTTCCTCTGCGTCGGTATTTAATGAGGCCTTACCCGGGTAGAGCTATACAACCGGAGCAGGAATATTTTAATAAAAGGCTTTCTCGTGCACGTAGAATAATAGAGAACGCCTTTGGAATACTTACTGCAAATTGGAGGATCCTTCGAACTACTCTGTGCATGGCTCCAAATAATGCGGAAAAAGTAGTGAAAGCGTGCATAGTTCTACATAATTTTTTAAAATTATCAACTCATAACTATGTGAGTAGTGATTTCGTTGATAGTTATGAAGATGATACCACGATCGATGGAGCATGGCGTAGAGAGACTCTGCCCTTACCATCAATTAGTCAAGTTTCATCGAATAGATGCAGTGCAGCAAACTATGATTTAAGAGATAAATTAAAAACACATTTGTTCAATAACAAAATTTAATACTTCATGTTTTTTTTTAATTAACTTTCTCATTAATTTGAAATAAAATTAAATTAATTCAATCAATTAACTTAAATAAAAAGAAAACACATTCAATATTACTTATGTAAAGAGCAGGGTAAGTAATATTTTTGTATATTTTTATAATAAAATAATTTTGTCCGACTGCATTCTTTACACTATACCATGATACAAAAATTTGAAGGTAAAACCGCTGAGAGGCAGCCTGAACATTTTTGAAGTTTGTTAACATAATTTAAATTTTTTAAAGTAGACAAACTTCAAAAAATAAATGATGGCCGACGAATCGAGCGAGTGATTTTATCTTTAAATATTTGCATCATGCATTACACCTTGCGACTGTAAATTTTACACACAAAAAAAGACTTGAAAGGACTTTGAAATTTCAAACCAGATTCCCCAACAACAGCAGACACATCGCGCCAGGCCATGTCTTTTTTGTTTTTATCCCTGTAACACAACTGGCTTTTGTCCCAGATACACCGGTGCTTTTCAATTGCATTTATTAAATTTTCTTCGAACATTTCTGCAGAAAAACTTAAAATCAAATTAAATATCTTCAATCGCTCGAAATTCGTAAATGAAGCTATAAACCAAATCAAAACAAATGAACAGCAGGGATGTTACAATTTCCATTGCCAAAAGCGCTGTCAAATAGAACATTGAGCTATTTGAAACTTCGCCGTACTTCAAGTGCTTGAAGCAAAGCTGCCATTTGTTCTCGTTTCATACATTTTAGTATTGTTCCAATTATTTTTGACAGTGATCGAAGCAAAGCAAGCAAAGCCAGCTTGCATTGGGCCAGCACCTTTAGAGTTTTCAGTTAGTTATAGACATTCACCACAGGGACGTATGCTGCTACACTATACTGGCAACCCAGTGGGAAAATGTAATGTATAGTAATCGAAATGCATTTTTTCACCCAGGACGATGTCCTAAGAAAAGTGGGGCATTCAATTTTGCATTACCTAGTATCGAGAAATGAATGTGTTTTAATATGAAACTTTTGGAACTTTTTGAATACATTAGAATGCTGATTACATAGTTAGCAGTAATATAATCGAGAAGTCATAAGAAATACATTATATTATTTATCACGCATGTAATGCATTACTAATTTTCCGACTGGGAAAATACAAATTTGTTCAATTTAGAGTGAAGTGAAACTTTTCCTATAACATACCTATTTAGCTCACCATATAATATGAATATTTCCTTCATAATAATAAATAGATATCATACTCTTAATGATAAGCACTGGTCAACAGTTGTTTTGGTGTCAAAGAGCTATACTTTTTTCATTTTTTAACTTACACCGATTTTGTAGTTTATTGGTCCAGCTGAAACCGCACCCCTCATTCTTCGCTGTAGGATCCGATATTCTCTGAGAATTGCTCACGATGACTGTGGTGGCAGCGTACTTCGATGGACATACTATATCTTAAGGTTTTATAGCTATCCAGCATTTTAATAATAATTAATAATTTCGTCTCGTGAATGTCAATAAAAACTGTGGTACTTAGGATGGTATTCCAAAAGACCTATTTCCAGAAAAAGGCCTTGAACATCTGAATAAAAAACAATACCAGTTTCAGAATGAAAAAATTGTAGCAAATCTTACCGTCTTGTACGAAGTGTTTTCTTTTAAACTAGAAGCTAATACTTTTCCAAATTCTATAGATGATTCTAGATCCTCTATCAAATCATTTAATTCTCCTTAAGTGAAAGTTTCTAGCTGAACGCTAATCCTTCGAAAATACTGTTACTCAATTCATTTAATATTTCTTCGAGTGGTGGTTCACGGCTCAAACAAAATGTTGGAACAGGTTTGAGATGGGCACGTGAGTGATTTTGGTTCATGTTCACGCACGCTCACCTTGTTTGATTTCGTAGATCACGCACTCAGCTGGCAGGCTGTCAGCTCCAGCAGCTTTGTTGTTTTTCAGCCGCGTTATTGCTATTCGTACCTCGTCATATTCAGGCGGTGGAACATCGATTCCGTCATCATACTATTCAGTAGGGTGTAAAATTGTTCCCTCATTAATTTAAGTACGTTTTGAACATCGGTATCTAGGTCGCCATTCCTGCTCTTACAGGAGTACGTCTTGGTCATGAATCCTTCCGTAAGTCGCCTAAGTCCCTGGTAAAATTTTTGGGCGTTCTTCCTGTCGGCCAGCATTTCCAGCTCTTCGCACTCACGTATTTCAGCCTCTCTGTTCTTATTTCGGCAAATACTTCTCGCTTCCCTGTTCAGATCCCTATAGCCGTCCCACATAGCGCGCGTTGCGCTCGATCGCAGCGTGGCCCTGTAGTCGGCATCTTTTTTCTCTGCAGCTTCCTGGCACTCCTTATCGTACCAGTTGTTCTTTCGGGCTCTCTAAAATCCGACTACTTCTTCGGCGGTGGTACTTAATGAGCGGGAAATGTGGTTCCATGCTGAGCATTTCGAAGTTGGGCTTTCTTTGCATATTTGGGCGCACGTTTTTTGTTGCACTGAGGTGGGTGCGTATCTTGGCTGCAACAAGATAGTGGTTCGAGTAGATGTTTGGGCCTCGGAGTGTTTCGTCTATCACAACATGATCGATTTCTCGTTTTTCGATCCGGAGACAGCCACGTAGCTTGATGAATCTTTTTATGCTTGAACCTAGTACTGCCTCCGGCCTCGGCGAAGTTGATCAGCCTCATTCCGTTGTCGGACGTTTCAACGTGGAGGCTGAATTTTCCGATGGTGGTTGCAACGATCCCTTCCTTGCCCACATTGGCATTGAGGTCGCCAAGCATGATTTTGATATCGTGTCGGAGGCAGCGCTCATATGTACACTCCAACAGCTCATAGAAGAGATATTTGGACGCCTCGTCCTTCTCTTCCATCGGGCATGGGCACGGATTAGCGAGATGTTGCAGCATCTCGCTTTGATGCGGATTGTGGCTAAGCGTTCTTCCATCAGCGACAGAGTTTCTCCCCCATTCGATTTTAAAAAATTAGTTGTCCGTTATCCCTTTTTCATAACTTTATTTAACGGTTCACAAATTATAACATGTTTAAGGAAAACATATTTTTTTGCATGCTATTTATATACAAAATTTCAAATGTCCACCGAAACCTTTTAAAATTTAAATAAAAATCTTTCCAAATGGGAGAATTTCCTTCTCAGTAACTAGGTAATTTTAAGGCCATAAATTCGCTAGGTTAGTTATTTTGGATCACTCTAATATAAATATACAAGAATTAAACGTTTACAGAATACGAATAAGTGGAAAAATTTCCGGGAAACGCTCTCAAAATTTAGTATGGCGAATTACGTAATTCGAAGGGTAATTGGAGTGCGAATTGCGAGAGAGCGAACTACGTAATTGGGGTGCCGTGGGAAAGCCGTAGTAAATGTTATTATTTGCGCTGTTCAATTCATTCTTGTTAAAATAAAATTTTAAGTTTAGAATAGAATTTTAAGTTGTGTCAATCATAGACATCTTTGAAACAGCTTTTTGTTAAGGTGAGAGGAAATAGAGTTATCAATATGAAGAGAAAAAAATGTAGTCGGCAATACATATACACTGAACCAAAAATCCATCTCTGGATGAAAAAAAACTTTCCTTACTTTAAGGTCGAAAATTCTTCCGAATGAGTAAAAAATTCTCCCGAATGAGTAATTTTTCATTGGATTGTATAAAAACGTACACGAAAATATGGAACCGTGGATGCAATGCATCATTTTGAAGAAATGTTGGGCATGAAAAGAGGATAAAACTTCTTTAGTGCTATTTCGTTCCAATTTTTCTTTATTTTGATTGCTGTTTTTCTTCAATTAAGAGAAGTTTTTTTTTAAGTACTTCAATTAGTTCATGCTGTGTCCGCAGAAGAATTTCGGATTTAGCAATCCGGGAAGTAATGGGTTCGAATCCCACTGCCAGAAAACATTTTTCACATCTTTTTCGTTCTTTTAAAAATTATTACTTAAATTTTGTTTATGTAATTATAGTTGTTGTGACCTTTTTAAGTAAAATTAAACTCCAAAAAATTTGATTTACTTGGAATGATTATGTGAAATACTATTAAAAAAGAATAAAATAAATGTTTATATTAAAAAATATGTTTATATTAAAAAATATTAGTAAAATTAAACAAATTTTTTTGGAGTGGGGACCGAACCTGGGTGCTTCTACGTTTACTACTTCAACAGCAAAACAAAACTTAGAACCTTATTTTACTATTTTAAAATCGTTTTCTCCTCATTTTAAAGATAAAACTCTGCCATAAAATACATTTTAAGTTGAAAGAGTCAAAATGGTGATTACTATAAAAAAACAATTTAAATCATTGAAACCTTTTTCTAACTTCTCTATGATTGTGTCCAATTAGGAAATAATAATATTCTTAACGAAATTTTTTGTTGAAAATTTCATGACTGCTATAAAACTTGGCAAGGAGGACATTTTTGCTCAAAAGGAGGACAGACAAAGAAGGACAATATTTTTGAGGAGGACAAATCATGTTTGAAGAGGACAATCCTCCTCAAAGGAGGACGGTTGGTCAGCTTAAACTATGGTAATTGTAATATTTACCACCATATGGGTGACAGACGTAAGAGCGTGGTAATTGAAAATATTTTGAAGTGCGTTGCAAGCTTTTTAAAATCTAAGGGCCAGTTGCTCAAAGCCTGGTTGACACAATCTACAGCCGAACATCGTTATCGACACCGTGTTATATGCATGGAGTCGAAGACGCCGATAACGATGCTCACCGAAGATTAATGTCAATCAGGCTTTGAGCAAACGGCCATAATTGTGTTAACTTATATTCAAGTCATACATATGAAATATGGGTATCAAACGACAACCGGCCCTTAGATTTTAAAAAGGTTGCAACGCACTTCAAAATATTTTCAATTACCACGCTCTTACGTCTGTCACACATATGGTGGTAAATATTACAATTACCATAGTTAAAACTGAGTTTGATTTTTTTAAAAAGCCCAAGCCCTTTAATCTTACACCTAATTTTTCAAAATCGAACGAACGGTGCGGATCAAATTGCACTGATTATTAAATAATTTGAATTATTTTTTCCGAAAAAATAAAACCCTATTGCACATCTACGGGCCAAGCCCTTTAATTTGACACCTCATTTTTTAAGATCGAACAAACGGTGCAGATCTGATGACCTGGACAAAAAATTGCTTTGCATATTAAATATATACATAGATTATAAAAAATATATATTTATAAATAGGTGGCAATATACGTTGAAATATTTCTGTTTCGAAGCTATTTCAGTCCTCTTTCATTTGGTACCAAATATTTTGTCAGTCTTTGTCTTCCCGAGGACATCAACCAGCCGGACAAAGGCACCGTGCCCATTAAGTGTCCGGATATTCCAGGTGCATTCCCTCAAATCATAGCCGTGGTCGTCATCAAAAGAGAGGATCTCATCCGAGGCATGATAAGCGTTAAGATGCCTCATCAACAAAGCAAGCACCAAATAAACGTTATCTTGCCTAGAAATTAAAACACGCACAACACGCATTTTCCCAACGACATATTTTTATAAACCCTTATGCACTTGTACATTGAATGGCGGCTTTTAAAATCAGCGTGCGATTTGTACATGCTCTCACATTTATTTTCATTTTTTTAACCCAGACCGCGATCAATTTAAAGAATATTAAGAAAATAAACTAATTTGCAAATAAAGTATCTATTTAACCACACGGAAGTTAGATTGCATTAAGACCTTACGATTTTACTTGTCCCATTTAATATTCACTGAGGGAAAAGCAAAAACGAAAATCTCATATTCCAAATTGGTGCAAAAATATTAAATTGCGAAATCCATACCCAAGAAATTTTCCTACGTCACGTTTTCCTGTCATCAAAAATTAGTAATCTCTCACTTCAGTTTT